ATCCACTCTGTCAAGTTAGGCAAGATGTCAGGCGACTACCGGTGGTGACGATGGCTGAGATTTTAGACTTTCAATGATGGTGCATTTGATGCACTCATACTTTTGTCAAACTGAATTGGATAGGAAAAGAAGAATAAGAGGAAAAACAAGAAAAAAATATTATAATAATAATAATAATAAATACAAAATGGTGTTTACATGCCCCAACCAAACCCCTTTAGCCAAGTCGAGCTTCTAGGTTGAGTTGCTAAGCCATTTTCTGTGCCTAGAGCTTAACCGCGTCAAACCCTCTAACTGAGCAGTTTTATTTTTTTGTATTTTTTGTATATTTTGGTTTTTTTTATTTATGTGTTTATTTTTTTTAGTATTTTTGCTTGATTAAATTTAGAAAAAATAAAAAATAGTTTAGAAAAAATAAAAAAATAGAAAAAAATAAAATTCTTTTTAAGAATAAGTATTAATTATCCAATAATAGAATTTATAAAAATTTCAAATGGTAAATTTTTATAAAATTCTTATGTGAGAAATTTTGTCTAAATTTATCCTAAATGGTGAAATAATTTAGATAAAGTTTCAATAACAATAATTAATATTTATTTTCAAACAAAAAAAAGAGAAAGAGAAAACCAAAAAAAATAAAAATACAAAAATTTTTGAAAAAATATTAATTACCCAAAGATGAGATACTTAAAAATTTCAAATGGTAAATTCCTAAGAAATCTCTAGGTGAGAAATTTCTTTAAATTTGTCCCAAATGGTAGAATAGTTTAGATGAAATTTTAATAAAAGTAATTATATTCTTTTCCAAATAAAAAATTTTGATTAAAAATATTTGATAATTATCCAAAGATGAGATTTTAAAAAATTTCAAATGATAAATTCCTAAAAAATCTTTAAGTGAGGAATTTCTTTAAATTTGTTCCAAATGGTGAAAAAATTTAAATGAAATTTCAAGAAAAATAATTTTCATATTATTTTCTTTCCAAAAAAATTTAAAAAAAATATTTCTAATTTGGTCCAAATAGTGAAATAATTAAATATATTTTCAATAATAAAAACCAAAATAAAAAATAACTAAACTTTTTTTCCAATGACGAAACCTCTTCAAGAAAACAAATGGGATTCTTGAATACTCTTGAGGTGAAAAACTATTTTTAAGAGTTTTACCAAATTGATGGAGAATCTTAAGAATTATTTCCAATATTTAAACATTAAAACTTAAAACCATTATAATCAAGACCCTATGATAAATTTAAAATAAAATGGTATTATCCTTTAGATAAGCATGTGGGGGTGCTATAACTTTCTCCATATATAACCGAACCCTTGAACCATGTTCTGATTAGTAGACCCAAACATATTCTTTTAGGGACCCTTAGTTAAGCTTAAGAGCTCTATAAAAAAAATAAATTCATTAGGTTACCAATCACACTTAGTTAAAAAATATTGATATCGACTCCATTTGTTAAGTCTAGCTATAAATTTTCGAATCTATATGTTATGACATATTTATGCTAAATAATTCAAAAAAAAAAGAGGAAAAAAAAGAGAAAAAAAGGATAAAATCAAAGGGCAGTGATTTGGTTGGCCAATTGAGGTTGGATTGAACTTAAACTATTAATTTTTTTAGGATAATAATCAAAGTTTTAATCCGATTATAAATTAAATTTTTTGTTTTAAGAATCCAATCCTAATGGAACACTACTTGGATTTGGATTCATTTCCATAAAATGATCATAAACAGAATAGAAAAAAATCACTAGATAACACCTTCATCCCATTGCCATTTTTGCCTGAACATCATTTTCATTACTGCAACCTCCACTGCTACATAAGAATGATCACCATCAACACAGATCTACTACCACCATTATCATCAATACCCCATAAGTCTCTAAGCTTCCATAGCACCACCAAACAATCCATCCTTCAAGCCTCCATAATACCAAACACCAACATTTTTTAAAACAAAAAACAAAACACCAAAAGATAGCCATTGATATAAAAAAGGAGAAGCAATCAGCATAAGCGCTCTACCATTACCAGCATCATTAGTTGGGAAATGTTGTCACCTATCAACACAGCTCCAAGCTCTAGTAACATAGCATAAGTTAGGCTTGAAGAAAACTCTCTCAAAATTTATGAGTATTCCTCAACAAAAACTTGTCTATTCTTTAAAAAATAATAATTTCAAAAGAGAAACACGTGGAGAAAATATCCAATTTGGACTAAAGTCGTGAAAGCTTCTTGCAATGAGGTACTATTGGCTTTGTTTGGGAGGCCTACACAAAGCCATTTGTATTTACGATGGATGGGACACTTGCTTACATTACTAAAGTAGCAATGCTTTATTTATAATATTGAAAGGTACTTTTACTTATTTATGTGTATTCATTTATTTAATTCTTTGTTTTTTTATTTTATTTATTTATTTATTTATTTTATTCATTTTTTTGTTAAATCATGTTTTGATTATTTAATTGACAAAAAGTAAAGATTTAGTAACAATAATTAATATTTATTTTTAAATTATAAAAAAATATAAATACACTTTATAAAATTTTGGGATGAGTTAACAATTATTCTAATGATGAGATTCTTAAAAATTTGAAACGCTAAATTTTATTAAAAATCTTTATGTGAGAAATTTCTCTAAATTTAACCTAAATGGTAAAACAATTTAGACGAAATTTCAATAAAAGTAATTGTATTCTTTTTCAAATAAAAAAAAAAATCATAAAATTTTGTTTGAAAATATATAATAATTATCCTAGGATGAAATCTTAAGAAATATCACAAATGATTGAATTTTTATGAGATTTTCAAGTAAAGGTTTTTTTTTTCTAAAATAAGCCTAAATGGTAAAAAATTTAGAAATAAAACTTGTAAAATAAAAAAATTAAATTATGGGAATGAAATTCTCAGTAATTGCAAATGGATGATTATCTAATATATTTCTAAGTAAGAAAATATTTCTAATTTTGACCAAAATAATGGAGGGATTAGATATATTTTCAATAAGACAAAAATTTAACAAGAAAATAAATGATTAAGTTTTTACGATGACGAAGTCTCTTCAAAAAAATAAATGGGATTCTTGAATACTTTAGAAAGTATTTTTAAGAATTCTGTTAGATTGATGGAGAGTTTTAAAAGTTATTTTCAATATTAAATTTAAGACCATTAAAACCATAAACCTTTAGGATAATTTAAAATTAAATGGTATCATCTTTTAGAATGAGCATTGTAAGGGTGCTATAACCTTCTCTACATGTAACCGAACTCCTAAACTTAATTCTGTTCAGAAGGTCAGAACTTATTATTCTGAGACTCTTAGTCAAGCATAAGAACTCTTTAAAAGGATAGATTCATTAGGTGGCCAATCACACCTGGTGGTGACTCCTTTTGTTAAGTCTAGATATAAATTTATAGATTTATACGTTATGACAACAGCAGTAAGAAGGAATTACGAAAATTCTCTTAATTTTTATACATTGAATTACAAATTAAACCATACATGTTTGAAAAGGTTATTAAGTATATTTTCCAACAAAATAAACAGAACTGAATTTCAAGTCTCCTATGAATTAAATATTTAATTTATACTAAAAGATATATGTGTTGTCTGTCAATATTATATAACATGTATTGCAAAAATTTTGACAATTAATCTACATGGAATTACTAGATGACTTATATATGATTAGAAGGCTTCTCAAGTTTAGTTTCTAATGCACTAAAAAAATCTTAATTACGAGTTGTATATCTTGAGATGTGATCATTTTAGTGAAAGGAGCTTAGGCTGCTAGCTTTAGTTAATTTAGTTAACTCTTGCGTAATTTAGTTATTTTAATAGAAATAGCCTCAAAAGGTTAATTAATTTTTGATATATTGAAATATCCTTAAATAGGCTATTAATTATTTTTGGAGAAAAATTAAATGGTGATATTGAAAGGAGATAAGTAGAATTTCATACACTTTACGTATTTTCAAACCTACATATATATATATATATATATATATGTATGTATGTTTTTAAATGGGTGAAGATTTTTTTTTTTATTTTCAATATATGAAAATAAGATTAAACATATGATTATTTTACGTTTTACTATACAAATGATGGATCATGTTTATAAATTAAATGAAAAATTAATTAATATTCAAAAAACAATTTTATGATAACTATGGGTGAATCCTTGGAAGGTGGGATCATTAATACCAAAATTAGTTATACGACCTTGACTAACAGGTTATAATAATTAACATAAAGCTCTAACTAACGAGTTATAATGATTAGCAATGATCATAAGGATGAAATTATTAATACGATCATTATCACGGGTTATAAAAGTGACCATAGCTACTAATGAACTAAAAATAAAAATGATTTATGATGATCAATTTATAATTTTGAAAATTGATCCATGATTTGTATGAAGAATGTATTTGACTATGATTATGATTTATAATTGATGAAATGTTTTGATATAATATCAATTTTTTGAACATTTACTTAAATGTTTTGGAAGCATAATGTGAATGATATTTTTGAATAAACTATATGTATGCATAAAAACAATGCTTTATTCAATAAGATATGTGGGGTTATATTTATTGAGCTTTAGTTTACTTATTCCCTTTTACTTTTTTTTTTTTTTTTTTTGCAAATGAAAACCTGATAAGTTTATTTAGTCTTGTGAAAAGTTATAAGATTAAATAAGAAAAACTACATAGTCATTGAAGATATTATTAGCCAATAAGATTTTATTAAACAATTTTATATTTTTATTAGTTTACATTTAAATATATAAAGATTTACCATCAATTTATTAAAAAAATTTAAAATTATAAAAAAAATAAACTTCCTATTATTTTAAGAGCTTTACTTCAAAATAACATTATCGAATTGCATCTCGAACTCAAGACGGGATACAACCTTATTAATTCATCAGGTTGTCTTTCTCTAATTAAAATTCAACAACCAACTTATACTCGAGCTACAGATTAAGCTGCACTGGATATCTGTGAATGCAATCTTCCCAAGGATTATTAGGAGAGGGCTTCACATTCTGGAGGGCCACCCAGACTGCACTGTTACATTTGAAACCACTTCCAAAAGCAATCTGCCAAACACGGTTCCCCTTGCGCATCCTGTCCTTTGCCTCTGTATAGGCCAACTCATACCAAATTGAACTCGATGAGGTGTTACCAAACCGGTGGAGCGTCATACGAGAGGCCTCAGCATGTACTGGTAGAAGCTGCAAATTCTTCTCAAGCTCATCAATCACAGCCCTCCCCCCAGAGTGAATGCAGAAATGATCAAAAGCAAGCTTGAAATCTGGGATATAAGGCTTGATTTGTTCATTGAACAACTTCTTGGCAACCAATGTTACAAAGAACAAAATTTGCTCACTTATAGGAAGAACCAGGGGACCCAGTGTAGTGATGTTAGTCTTGAGTGCACCACCAGCAATTGCCATCAAATCCTTAGACAAAGAAACCCCAGTTTTTCCAGCATCATCCTCTTCCTGATAAACACACTTATATGCCGTATCATTGGACCCACAGTGTGTCCTCACCACATGAACAAGCTTATACTTACTTCTCCTTCGATCTGCAGATTTATTTGATAACAAAACTGCTGTACCCCCAAGTCTAAACAAACAGTTTGGTATTAACATTGATTTCTTGTTCCCAAAATACCAGCTCTGTGTAATGTTCTCAGTACTAACAACAATAGCATAACTATTTCTATGAACTTGCAACATATCGTTAGCAAGATCAACAGCTATAACCCCAGCACTACATCCCATACCCCCAAGGTTAAAACTCCTAATATTACACCTCAACTTATACTTATTAATAATCATGGCGGATAATGAAGGAGTTGGATTAAACACCCCGGAATTAACGACAAGAATTCCAATATCTCTTGGCCTAACATTAGTATTAGCAAAAAGTTTATCTAATACACCAAATATCACCTGCTCTGCCTCTTCTCTTGCGGCAGCCATTGATGGTCTTGGAGGAATATAATGCATTGCTTCGGGCACACAAGTCTCTTCTCCAAGCCCTGATCTTTCCAAAATCTTGCGTTGAAACTCCAAAGAAGACTCATCAAAATCACCCGTCAGCATGGAATGTTCCATGAACTTTTGGTGGCTTGCTTTGAGATTTGAAGGAGGGAGATAACAAGAGTAATCCACCAAGTAAACGGATCTTGGTTGGTTCATGATGTAAACGGTTGAACCAAACACAATGAAAGCAGAGAACAGAATGACAATGACAAGATTATACTGAAGCTGAAGCCATAATTGGTGGATGTCATCAAGGTTCAACCTTGATGCTTCAACAATAATAACAGCCATTAGAGGGACCAAACAAAGTGTCAAAAGATGACTTATTAAATAATGATAACCAAGTTTTACATACTTCAAGTTGACACTATGTAAGAAATCAGGCAATCTCCTACTCTTTCGGATCTTAACTCCATTGCTTGAACTTGAACTTGAACTCTTCTCTCCACTATTCATGATGATGGGTAATTCAAAAAAGTTTGTACTTTTTCTTTCTTCCTTCAAAAGAGAAAAAAAAAAGGTATGGTTTTCCTTGTGTTCAAAAGGGGTATATATAATACTTATAATAATGAATAGGATTTTAGGGTTTTAGGGAAGGTTGGTTGGCGTTTAGAGGGGGTTGATGCAACTACAACAGCCATCAGTTGCCATTAAAGAACACATAGTTAGGTTACAATGAATAGAATGTCAAAGAGAGGAAGGCGAGGTGGGAAGGAGGGAGTTTCCTGGTCTGTTTTCTATTTCTGCTAACGCCAGCCAACCCCTCCTTGGGTATGCCTACCATTTCTTCTTATAGGTTACTTTTTGAACTCCTCCCTTCGTCCTACCTAATTCCAGATATGGATTAATGGCAATAGCTAATTGGTGTCTGCGATTAATCAGTTTTTAGCATTATTTAGTCTATTTGAACTCTTAATTAAAGCACTGGAAGAGAATCGCTAGCGTCTTTCTAAAGGACGGGGATTTACGTGTATTGCTTATATCTGATTTGCTGACGTTAGCTTTAAGTCATTGGAGAAAACTTCTATAAAATTTTTTAAATGAAGTTCGTAAATTTTAAAAAAAATAATTTAATAAAATTTTAATAAAAAATTTAAACTAATAGATTAATAGAGTTTAATATGAAAATCAATGTAAAAAATTATTTAAAATATTTTTTATAATTCAAATTTTATCGATATTTATTCAACGGTAAAAATTATATCAATTTTTTTATTAAAATTATCTATCTAAATATATATGTCAAAATTTATTAAAAATTTTTTATACAATGAAAATCTTCCTCCAAAATCTGAAAAGATCATAAATTTTAAAAAAGATTTATATTGAATTTACAGATCACCCGTCAAATAAACTATTAGCAATAAATATGCTAGCAACGAGACACGAGCCTAAGTTTTAAAAATGTAGTATTAAAACCTTATAAACTCAACCAACTCTGTTGAGTTGCGTCATTCCAAACGTGATAGGTTACCCTTAATTTTTGGATATCCACACTCAAACCCAATTATATTTCATGATATCCAAACTTTATAACTATCCAAATACTTTTTTTTATTATCCAAATCCTACTCATATGATATAGGAATTACTTATTAATTATCTGAACCTGTTAAATACCCATTTATTAAATCAAAGTTTGAATTTTAAATTTAAATTTAAAACAATTTTAATATATATTATTAAGAAAGTTGAAATTCAAAAAATTAAAGTTAATTCATAAAAATAAATTATATATATTTAAAAAATTATAATTAAAACATTTAAAGAATTAATTTAGTTAAATATTATATTACTAATAAATAACTTATAAATAAAATATATAATATTTAATATTTAAAAATTATTATTTATAATCAAGTTTAGATAATTAGTACTTAAGATCACTATTCAAACGTTATCCGAACCTGTGACAAATAATAATTATATTACATAAATACGATGTTAAAATACCATAATTCTACTTAATCAAACAGAACGGTGCAAAGTACCATTTTATACGGTATACATGACCATCCATAGAATATGCCATTAACTATTTGCCATGTTGAACATTAAATTTTGGGTCCCTTTTTGTTGGCTGAATTCATTTACTCAGTGTGCAAAAATTTAATGGGATATTGGACTTCTCCAACGGTATAATTAAAGAATTTTTTAATATTTTTAATTTAAATTTATATTTGATATACTATTAGTATATAAATTTTAAATATTATTAATGAATCAAATGATGATATTTAATTAATAAATAAATATCAATCCTTAAAATAAATGAATATAATTTAAAATTTTTTTAAAAATTTACTTATTAACGATGTATTATCATCTAATTCACTAATACATCAAATATAAACTTTTTTAACTTTGATGAGCTTTTTTTTTTTTTCTTGGTTATAGGCATATGAAAATTTTCAATGGCACACAATTAGAAATGACAACGGGTTGAGGCAACTTTTGCTCTCTTTGAACTTGACTTGATTTTATACTAATAATACATAAATATTTTTATTTTTGTATCCGATTCGATCTAACATTATATAAAATTGTACCTGATTCAAACTTATTCGAAATTAATAAAATATTTTTTAATATTAATATAAAATTAAATAAATATTTAAATATATAATTAAATAATTAATTAAAAATAATATATCTATCGGACGGGGTAAGTTTACCTAAAATCTAATTCTGATTTTTTTTATTATTATCTAACTTTACCTGACTCAAAATTTAATTTAAAAAAAATAAATCTCATGAAATCGAATCGAATCAGAGCATATCAAGTACGAGTTGAGCTATCATTCCTATGCACAGCATAAAAAGGTACATATATTTTTTATGTTCCATTTGGGCATTTATCTTAAATGATTTTCTATTGGTATTCATAATTAAGATTTATACCAATTTATTACTTTGAATGAAATCCCCTTTTTATGAAATCTATGAAAGCAAATTTGGAGGGTGGGTACAGCATACCGGCTACTGTGTCTGGTATAGCATAACTAACAATTTAAAAGAATTTTAATGAAATCTATGTACTTACAAAATTTTGGGAGGCCATAACCCCTTGTAGTTCTAGCGAGTCCTAGATTCAGCTCCATTCATTGCTTAATTAGGTTAAGTTAATTGATAAGTAAAAAGTACATTTAATTTTTGCATTATAAATATTTTTAGATGATATTTTAATTTTTTATAAACAAATAATAATTTGAGATAAAAAAAATGATTGTAGGTATTAAATTTTAATATTCAAATATATTAAATGCTATTTTTTAAAAAAATAATTATATAAATTAATTAAATTAAATTTTAAATTTTAAATTAAAATTTTAATTATTTTTAAACAACTACTGTAAACACTTGTTACTCCAATCTTAATTTTAATTGATCATATTAGAGAACTCTGATAAAATAAAAAATGTTTGATTAACTGGTATTTATATATGCACATTCAACATTTCTTCAAGCATTTTGGAAGAATATAGATTTAAAAGTCTCAAATAAAATATGAAAATAATATAAATAAAAAATATAAAATTGACACAGTTTAAAATTTTAATAAAAATTATAAATAAATTTAATAAAATAAAAATATATATTTCATATTTTCATGTTAATGTAAATTATGATACATAATTTTTATATAAAATACGATAATAATACATAAATTATTAATATTTTATATAATATAACACTTAAAACGGTAAGATCTAGAAAAATCTTTGAAAGAATGAAAAGGCAATGGAGATGATGTTTTGTTTTGTATGGAATCCTCGAAGAATCCGATAAAAGATTTGGGGGCTCTAATATTAATTTAAAAAAAAAAAAAAAGAATGTTTCTTTGGTAGCAATCAAATGTGTGAAGGTCACTGCCCAAGATAATTAGTATATTAGTCAGGAGTAATTACAAAACCATCGAGTAATTTCAATTGTCAACGTTTTATTGTTTTTTCTGAAAAGCAAGGGCAAGCGTAGAAAATTAATGTTGGCAATCTTTTTGAAAAATTGAGTGAGAAGTTTTTCATTGCCATTACTCTATTTTATAAGTGGGAAATATTTATATGAATTTTTTAAATTAAAGTTTGTGAAGTTTTTAATTAGAAATGATTAAATAAAAATTAAAATTGATAAATTAAAATATGCAAATTTTAAAATTTTAATAAATTTTTATATAGATATTTTTAATAAAAATATTAATAAAATTTTTATTATTAAATAAATATCAATCAAATTTAAATTATAAATAATATTTTTAATAATTTTTTCATATATTATTGATATTCACATTAAATTTTATCAATATATCGATTTGGATTTTTTTTATTAAAGTTTTTATTATATTAATTTTAAAAAAACTTTATAAATTATCTAAAAAAATTTATATAAGTTTTATCTTTTTATAGGTAAAGTCAGCAAAGGATTTAGAATTTTTTTTTTTAAGTGTTCATTTATTATAATAGATGTTTGTTAAGTGTTGGATATAGGTTGACTGTGAATTATGATTGGATGTCAAGAATAGATTAGTTGTTGCCAAGCTTTGGATTTAATGGTTAAAAGCGTTTGAGAGGATATCAATGGTTTAATTTTGAACTAAACATTCCTTTTTTTTTATTATTTGTATTAAAATTTTATCATTTTGATGTAACCAAAAAAAAAAGAGATAATAGATTTTTTTTTTACATATTTAAGAAAAAATTGTAGGATAAAATTTAGATGAAGTTTTTAAGTAAAATCTACAAATTAAAAAAAAAAAAAGAGTTAATAAAAATTTTAATAAAAATTTCAAACTAATAAATTAATAAAATTAATTATGAAAATTAATAATATATAAAAAATTTAAAATGTCATTTATAATTCAATTTTGTTATGTACTTATTAAACAGTAAAAATTTTATTAAAAATGTCTATTTAAAAAATTTATTAAACTTTTTTTAAATTTTACACACTTAATCTATTGGTTTTGATTTTTAATTTTAATTTATTTGTAATAAAAAATTCACTAATTTTACTTTAAAAAATTTATTTAAATCTTTTCTAAAATTGTAAAGGTATCCAAGAAAATTTTTCCTTTCAAAATTTTTCTTATTTTCCAAATTAAAGTTGTCCATAAACACCTTACCTTTATATTTACATCCACCACTGGATGTAATTTGAGAATGGATGATTGTCAAGCCAGATTAACAAAAAATTGAATGTTAGAAAGTTGTTTGTGCCAACAAATTGTTTTGTTAATCTGATATAATGTTATAATCGGTTTTAAAATTAAAATTTTTGAATTTAAATTTCAATAAATATAATTAAAAATTAAAAAAATGTTGTCTGCCATATATTATTAACCTCTCCAAGGAAAAATCAAACCCACATTTACCAATATTCGTGTTGCATACATTGTTCAAAATTTCTGTTGCTTTTATTGTATCCAAAACAAACAAATAATTACGTATGCCTTTTCTTTGAGGAGAGGAGGTGCCAAATGGGGTGGTCTTAATAAGAGTGTAATTAACTTAGTTTGAGTTGATAAAATATTAAGTTCAAGTTCAAATTCTATTTTAATTTCAAGACTCCAAAGTCAATTCTTATATTAAATACAAACTCGATTATTTATACTTAAATTCGAGTTTGAGATATTTTATTAATTAAAATATAAAAACTCGATTAATCTGATGAGTTATTCGAATCGAGTATAAAAGTACTCAAATTCGACTTAATCGATAAATCAAGTTATTTGAGTTTAAGCTTAACTTAATAATAATTAAATTTAATTTAAATTTTATTTAAATTAAATTTGAATACTAATGTATTATTTATGCTACTATATCTCAACTCTCGATTGGAAGTAGGTTGTTCGGTTTCTAGATGAACAAAAGCAACAGAAGTCAAACTGTAAAGGGCTTATGCCCAAAAATGCAATGGGCTCAAGCCCCTTTTTTTTGTCATTGATGATATATGTGGGCCATGGATGCATACACAAATATCGATGTTGATAAACCACATAGGATTAAGCTAAATTTTAAGGATCAAATTTAGTAAAATTAATGTATGTTTACCATTTTAAGATCCCATTGAACATTCTGAATAAGTGTTTTTATCCCTTTAAAAAGAATTTTCCCAATTCTTGTGCATTGACATATAAATGTTTAATAAAAAATTTAAACTTTCAAGAGATGTTATTTAAATGGTTGCCATGGTGCATGGGAACTTTTGGTTCCCAAGTTGTATTTGTGTTGTTTTATCCAATGATCTGTTGATGAATTTTGAGTAAAACATATTTGAATAAGGAAGACCATTATTTTGTGCCAGACTGAATTGTTTGGTTCATTAATTTTCAGATGTTTGGAATGTCAGAAAATTGTTGCATAAAGGAATGCTGCTGACTCCAAAGGGGTTGAAACTTTCTCTTCCACTCCAAACGACCCTGTCTGGTAGTAATGGTTGGTGTCCTGTCCCCTCCCCGACGATGATTTGGCCATGAATTAATATGTATTGTATTATATATCTGGTGCATAATTGATCAGGAAATGAAATTTCCCCACAAGGTCTGGGCAACATTAATGGCCTACTCAACAGAGAGGTAGCCCCCTGTGTGATCGCTAGTTGTTTTTTCAGAAGCTTTACATTGACGCTGATACACTTGATGGATGTCAAGGAATCTCCACAATATGAAATGCAGAAAGGCATCTTTCCTTTTACTAAAATGGGTTGCTCGGTCTGAACCAAAAAGGGGAAAAGGACAACTAAGTTCTGTTATTATAAAAATTGTTCAAGCAATTTGATGCCCAAGGTCAAGTTGTTCTACTTATATGATCTTAAAATTCAGCCATGTGAGAATTTCAGTGTGGTGTGTGTATGCATTCTTTCTCTTTTCTTTGCTGGAAATTATTTCAAGGGTATAACAAATAAATATAAGCCCTTGCTCTTTTGTAGGAAACCCTATCCAGGTTGGAATTTCACCCAAGGAAGGATTGGTCAAATAATCACAGCCAAACCCTAGGAGTATATATAGAAATCAAAAGACCCATTTCAAGACTATTTTATATGAAAAAGAATATCCGAAATTTGCTCGGCAATTCCTATCCGTGAGCATACCTAGACTTCTGTTACTATATGCAAAGGTGGAAGTAATTTCTTGTGGATTTTATGTATAACTGGGCTTTCAATGGGAATGGGATTCACTACGTGATGGTTAAGTCATCATCAGTAAGTATGAAATTTACACTGAAACATAATTTAGAAGTAGCAAGGCCTAGGGTCTAAGGATTTAAGCGGTTATAATAGCTCGTTCGCATAAAAAAATGGTGGAAGTAATATTATCAGTTGGATCTTGCTAGAATTGAAGGCCAACATATTGGACGCTCTCCAATAAAAGTTAAAAGAGTCAATGGCCACGGGCACATGCTTCATCCCGCATATTGTGAGAGGTTGTTCAACGACAAACCTACCAGCACGCTTCTGAATTCTTATTTGTGCAGTTTAGCCAAATTATAGCAATCCCTGCAATCATTAACGTTGAATATCCTGACTTTTAGGTTTAGATATTCACGAGTTTATGGCTTAAACTAGCTTATTTGGAGCAACAGCTAGGGTCATTATCTTACACGTACATCTGCTACAGCTAAAAGAAGCAGATGCTGCCCGGCTGCATGCTTCGAGCACATTCTTGCCCTGCTATCATGAGGCATGGGGACCGTCCCAAGAACTGATAATTGAGAGTTTAGTTAAGGTCTCGATGCTTAATCATATCCTAAATTCAGTACGACCGGGATCTTAATTTGCTGACAAGGTTGTTGTCCTCATTTTTTAATACTAGTAAAAACAGTCTACGTTTACCCCTTTGGGCACCAAATTATTTGCACAACATATCAAAGGTCATCATGTACAATGAGTTGTATCATGTTTGTGAGGCTGAGAGTTCCCGTCATGTTTTTTATTCAGAAATTGAGAACCTTGCTAGATTCCTAGCATAGCTTTACAAGATCCAATAGGGGGCCTATATCAGATTCAGCTATTGGCTTAATTTGGTAGCCCGAAGACAAGAGGGTGTAACAATAATAAGATGAAGATACTTCCTGTTTTACAAAGTCCAGAAGCTATAATTAAGCTTCTGTTTTCTTTTTTACTTTAGTTGCTGATGGAAGAGAGATATGAATTGAAGTTTTGTATTGTACAATAGGCCCATGGAGTATATTTACCCACAAAGATACTAGTAAAGACTCAAGGGTCTCAAAAGAAAGAAAAAAAACATTGGGGTCGAATGATAAACGCACACATCTATGCGATGGGAGCGCTCCTACCCGCCTCCCAAATGAACCGTTAGCAACCAGAAAGCTGATGGTAACATACATATGCAAATGCACATGGGAGGTGCTGTTCCTATTTGTCAAGCCAAGTTAATTTTGGCTAACTAATTTCAATCTAATCACCTTCCCGCCTCTTCACCCCATATTTGTTCTTTAGTGATTCCAATGCTGATGTACGTTTATCAATATCACAGTGTTCATCTCGTAAGAACTCACTGTCAGATTATATCTGATTCATTATGAAATTTCTTATTGTAATTTGATTCTTCAGTTCTTTCAATTCAACTTGGAAATTATTTATTTGTTGTACTGAAAATAAAAGCGCTACAAGATAAACAAAATACGTACTATATTTATTCCAACAGGAGATGCTTTCACAACAAAAACACAGGGAGGAAGCAAGGATCACATTAATTATGTGTCTGTTCCTGATACATTTAGCGACATAAATATGAGCACAAAAAAACTTAGAAGAGGAAATGGAATCACTAATCGCGATTCTTCTATTAGTACTATCACTTATTAATACTAGTAGCAGCTAGCGCAATGGATCATCAGATGCAAGTCCATTCTTCAGTTGAGCTCGAATTTTTCATCCTGCACATGGTTAAAGCTCAGAGTTATCAGAGGGAGCCACGTCAAAGTGCATCAGGAAAATGACTCGTGAGCTAGGAGAGGAGACAACAGATTAGAAAAATCAGAAGTGCTATGATTCCTAGGGTCTAATTTTATTAGACTCTATGCATAGGATTGAAATTATGTAAATGGGTCCTCATGCAAATTTTTTAAAACTACATTTCTGATTCCATTTTTAAAAGCTTGAGCTTTGTTGGTTATACTTATGAAAGCAAATAAAAGTAGTAGCAAAAAGGCTAATCAACTCGTTATTCAGTGTTCTCTGATGACAAGTGGGGTGTAGAACTGCCTTGTGCCTAAACATAAGGAGTCAGAGAATCAATTTAAAGTTGAGGGTCAGGCGTTCCCTTTTTGGGATTTAGCCACGTTTAATTTGCTATGGCATGGTTATAATAAAAGTCGAGATATTCTAATTGCTGTACAGGCTAACACCAATGAAAAAGCTAAATCTCTAGTCACTTTGTTAGGTGAAGGTCTATTCTTTAATAGAATTTTACTAGCTTTACCTCGGCTATTCCCGCCAGTGGTCTTGTAGTTGGGGAAGGGCACTTGGCCTGATTCGATATGCTTGACATCCGCCACAAGCAGCTCATAGTGCCTCTTCACTTCCTCAGCAGTTTTCCCTCCAACCGCCTTGGCAACATTGTACCAACGGTCAGGGGTGTCCTTATCATACACAGCCAAAGCCCTTTCAAAGTCTTTGTTTTGCTTGGCAGTCCATGAACCAGAACCACGGGAGGACATTGAGCTTGATGCCATTTTCTTATGCTAATCAATGTAAAATAGCAGTTCAAACTTAGGCAAGAAAAGTGTTGTAATTAAAGAATCACTATTTAGAATGGTTTCTTTGGTAAAAAGCAAGGAAATAGATTGGAGCAGGATATAGGGTCAAACAAAAGAAGACTGCAGTCAAGGGGTTATTATGAGCAAAGAGGTGGCAATGGCCGCTCTTTATAAGCAGAGGAGTAGGGAGGGTTAGGTGGGGTATATGTCCAGTTGGCGTAGATATCTTGCAAAGCATCAAGAATTTTAATGATTTGTCTCCTTAGGAACCACAAAATGTTGTAGGACAAAGAAGGACTGAAATCAGTAAGAGAATCAGTTTCTCCAAAAACCAAATAAAAATGTGTTTTAACAGTACTAAATAAATACAAGCATTTAAGTCCTTTTCTTCGCTTATTATTCTGCATATGATATGAGCCAAGGTAAAAATTTCTTTCTTCTTCTCTTTATAACAATCATGTGAAGTGTGAACTGATTGGTAATATCAGAAAACACAGAAAAAGTATTGCTTAAAAGGAGTAGACAGAAAAAGTAACGCTTAAAAGGAGTAGATTCCGGAGAAGCCTCCCCTTGTTTTTGCCAATGGTAAAAAACTTTAGTTGATCGACATAATTCACGTGGTTTTGGACTATGAAGTTCCTACTTCATGGACAACAAAGTAATTTCAGTTGATCAGAGAGCCTTGGAAGATAAGCATGTTAGGACTATGAAGTTCCAATACCTGCTGAGGAAAAGAAGCAAAATAGAAATCCCAGGGAAATTAAAGTTTGTTCCTTACGCATGTTAGGATTTTTCTGTTTTTCAGATTTCAATTTGCCCTTTGCATGTTCTTATTCTTCTCCTTGCATGCGCTCAGGTGGGTCCTTTCTCTCGAACCGTAGACCAAAATCTAGTGTCCGTACTATAATTTCACGTGTTCACCAATCACCATACTGTTAATATTATCCTTCGAGACAGTTGAAGGAAGAGTTTTGTTTTGTGGGTTTCTATTCTATTTCTAAAAGTCTTTCTTGTTAGTTGTACACTGTGTCCTGAACAACATTCTAAGCATTCTAGCAGGCTTTGTTGATTTCGTACAATCATAATCTTGTGTTTTTTCTCCTACAATGGTCAAACATTTGTTGGATGTTTGGTTTTCTGGTAAAAGGGTGTGTCGTGGCAAAGTTTTCTGTTCTCTCGAACCGTAGACCAAAATCTAGTGTCCGTACTATAATTTCACGTGTTCACCAATCACCATACTGTTAATATTATACTTCGAGACAGTTGAAGGAAGAGTTTTGTTTTGTGGGTTTCAATTCTATTCCTAAGAGTCTTTCTTGTGAGTTGTACACTGTGTCCTGAACAACATTCCAAGCATTCTAGCAGGCTTTGTTGATTTCGTACAATCATAATCTTGGGTTTTTTCTCCTACAATGGTCAAACATTTGTTGGATGTTTGGTTTTCTGGCAAAAGGGTGTGTCGTGGCAAAGTTTTCTGACAAATCTCTCTTACAAGATCCTCTATACGGTAGAATTCATTCCTCCTGGACTCTGAGATTTTCTGCTTTGCTAAATTTAAGACATGATCAAATTTCAAAGAAGACCGATTTGTTGAATAAAAAAGTTGAAAACCCTTTTTTCCCCAGCATAAAACAATTGAAAGAAGCTGTCTTTATTAGATTTATTGTTTTTCATTTCGATCACCGAGGCATCAATATCAAAGAGGGGGAAAAGCATGTTTTATATGATCAATGAGCTCGTTATAAGGCAATGCGTAAATATAAAATCTTGTTTATCATATTGCACATATGGAAACCACTTGTTTAAGCCCTGCAAAAGGAGCAAAGAAAATGTGACAAGCAGAGATAGGATCAAAATAACAGTACTACATGGTAAATTATTTGATGCAGTCCCTTTCAAATAGTCCCTAAAATGTGCAAAACACATCCAAAGCTGGCATCAGATAAAAATAAACAGAATAATACTATGTATGAGAAAGGATATCCATGGTTCATCGAGTTAGCCCATTAGTTCTTCAATTTTTGTGCCTTGTAGTGCAGTAATTATTTTTTTTTTTTTTTATGGCAGAATTTGGTTATTCCTTGTTTAAATGAAAATTTGATTTGATCTCTTGCTCTTTTTTTTTTTTTTTATGGTGAAACAGATGAGTTGGAGCTTGGCTGGTCCATATCTTTGCACCTTCAATGATGAAGATCCACCATAATTTACCTGAACTGAGTTCAGGTTAGGCAGGCACAACCAAATTGCAATAATTTGACAGAATCTTTTATTGGCCTTGTTATAAGGAGCCCCCATGTGGAATTTTAACTCTTCTTTCTTTTCTTTTCTTTTATTATTATTATTTTTTTTTTTTTACTTTTTGTTTATAAGGTTTTCTGATTAGGCGATTCCCCTAAAAATATCAACAGAAGATCTGGATTTGAACAGATTATACAAAGATAATTTCCAGAACATCTTTTAATTTGATCATATCTCTGACTCTTCTACATGTACAAGTGCCCTAATATGATGGAACTGAAGAAAGCAACATCTCTTGCAGATGCCTATAGGGTTCGGAATATCAATATCACGTTTGAAACCCCATTATTGATGTAAGGTAACCTCATAACGTGCAAAAAGGTCTGTTTTTCTCCATCCTTTCTCTGGACAAGTGCAGATTGCTGTTGAGCCATCTCTCGAAGTGAAATTCAGGCATGATATTGCTAACATGTGAAGTATTATTTTTAGCATATGCAAAATCTCTGATGTTCTCTTGTCAACTTGAGCAATATTTACACATTGTATCTTTTGCTATTAGATTCCCTCATCACGTACAGATGAGTATTATAAATGGAAGTTTAAGCTTGTCAAAGTAATGCCATTTCAAGCATATTAATAAACCTAATCTCTTCACGTAAGAGTAACTCCAATCAGAAAATGACAATTTCCTGAGAGAGACTAAATATCTGCTTGGAATAACAAGTCAAATCTACAAAAGCATCAGAATTCAGAGGGCGGTGGCGTGATACAACGATTTAGGCTGCTGCAAGTTGAGTAGAGTAGCCCCAGCCTATATGGCCCTACGCTCACTAAAATCCTGCAAGTAGACCTCAGTATAGTCTATTCTCATCGCCTAGAGTCCACGGAGCCGACTCTCTAATTTAAGATTCAGAATGACGGGAAAACCTCTGCGTGTGGGAAAGCATGATGTAGGGATTCCTTTAAATCTTCGTGACGTAAGTTGCTACGATAGAATGAGGCTGCTATAGTTTCAAAGTTGGTATACTACGATTGCATTAGATTGAACAAGGAGCAATTGTTTTGAGGAGTTAAAAATAACATCTAAAAATCTCAGTTTTTCTGAGAAAAAGCAATGTATATCAGGAATTTTCAGTGTGAAACACATCATTCTCTTATCGTTTCTTGTCACTCTGCTAATTTTTTTCCTTTCTAAAGTGTTTCTTGAGCATTTTAATTTAACCCTCGGTTGTTACAGAGGCAATAGATAAAAATGTAGCAGGTTTACCAGCATTAATTTCACACAAGGTAATGGCCTGTAGTGTCAAGTTGCAGAGGTCATATTCTTGGATGCTGACCACATGCAAATGGGGATCACTGTGATGATTGGTTGAAAATTACCCATGCAACTTTCTAGGAATCATTACGAAAAAAATTGATGCTTTGGGATCCTTATCATTCAGTCTATCCAATTGAAAGTAATATATGTGGATTCCTTTCTTTCTCAGGACTTGTTCTTCTGCAAGTGGTCCTTGCTTGGAGAAGTTGATTTTGCAATGATTTGTTATTGATTAAGGGTTTAAACTTTGTAAACCTATTGGTTTTTAGTAAGTTTTGAAGGGGATTGATGGTCTTAAACATTTCTCTTTTTAATTCCTTTTTTATCAGTAAAGACCACAGAACCAGGAATCTGCAACTTTATACCGACGGAAAAGAATAAAGATGTTTATTTTTTTCCCTTGGAATTTTGAACAAATAGAAATTTCGGACGATGAAATGTGTAAATGGTTGAATTAGTTATTGCAAGGAGGAGGAAGGAAAGGTCTAGAAGAAAAGAAAAGTTATAGGGTATTGGGGGAATATGCAGAGGGAAATGCCAATCGTGTGAATATGATTTATGCAATCTTCCTATTAAGGATCACAAAGCTATAGTCTTGGTGTGGTTGGATTGATTTTTCCTGGCGTGTGATTCCCGTGTATGAAAAGCCGCTGAAGCAACAGAGAGAAACACCCAAAGTTGATAATACATCTGTGGCTTGAATCAGCTGGAAAAGATGTGATGTTTTAGCAGGACACGAGCCATACAAGAGATAATACATGGATAACTAATGATTACATTGTTTTTGTTTACAACCAATCGCATGACATCTACTCTGAATGCACCAATGAACTTCTGTCAATAGTTGGTAAAATGATTGTGTTGCAGGGAAACTATTCTACCACTTTTGCTATTATTTTTTTCTTTTGGAATTTACATACAATTGTACATGGTATTGCATCGTACGCTGATTCTAATGCCGGAAGATTCAGTGCGACCAAACCAAGATAATGTGGGCCAGAGATTCGTATGTTCTAATGCTGATATTTTGCTGTCGTTCTCACTAAAGTGCAGGTAAATGTCAATGTCGGTTTAGCGTCTGCTTGGTAAGATTTTGCAAGCAATAATATTATAATGGAGGGCTAATGCAATATTACTGATGAACTTGACATTTTTCTTTTCCGAACATTTATTCTCTTTTTTTTGGTGTCCTGCTTCCTTTTAGTCCTACACGGAAATCATGCTTTTAGCGACCAAATCTCGAGGAGAGATAACAAAATATTCTCACCATCCAAAGGTTTACCTACGGTGAGCTGACTGATGTACCTTTGACAAGGGAATGAAACCAAATTACCATTTTGGAGGGGTGATGCGTTGGTTCGGTGCCTTGCCACAATCTTCATCAAAATTTTTACTTTTACAAAAAGAAAAGAGTGATGTTGCCCCTGCAATGTGACAGAAAGTAGATTTATCACCCCAAGATCTTGATTCTTGAGAGACTAATACAATTCAACATCTTCGGGCTTTAGCCATAATTAGTCATTAATATCAGTTTTTCAAAGAAAAGATGATAAGACCTCCTTGTTCAAGGGCTAATGAGCTATATAC